CTGGGATCAGTCCTGGTGCCCAGGCACCTCCAGTGCCCCACAGTGATTCCTGTCCCACTCGTGCTCCAAGGGCAGGACAAGTGACAGGAAGGTGGAAAAACCTGAGAGTCATCAATCTGAATGGTCTGAGATTATCTGAGCAATGCAGGCAAAATCCTCAGAAGCCAGAGGAGCTGGAGGATGAGGCTGTGTGCTGCTGCCCCTGTGGGATCTGGGAGGGGACATTGCCCACATTCCAGGCAGATCTGTGCCCAAGTCTGTTCATTCAGGCTCTGCCTTCTGCCCTGTGCTCTGCATTGCAGGCGCTGGAGAAAACAAGCTTACAAAAATACCAGGAAGAATACACTGGAATGTACAGTGAGTTTAAGAGCTTTTGGAATTAGATCAGCTGTTGCTTTTGAACCTGCTCTGTGATATGATGAAATCTCCTAGGGAATTACTTAGGAAGCTTTGCTTTCATATGTTTAATCTTCTGGAAAACCCTGATGATTACAAACAACAGTCATCCATTTGTCTTCATAATTCCATGTAACAGACTATCATAACTGACTTAGAACAATTGTATGTCCTGGCAACACTTCAAATATATTTTTAAGTATTTTTTTTTCTTTTAGATCTTTCTTTCTAAACAATTCAGAGTGGATTAAGTAATTGTGTGACGCTTCATTAAGAAAGGAACCCAACTCTTCAGTAGAATTTTTACCAGATATTTTCCTTCTGAAATTCAGTTGAAATGTATTTTACTAGACAAGTCAGAGGTGAAATAAAAATGTTCTCATTTTAACTTGATTCACAAGCAAAGTACATAGTTTTAATTGCATTTAGCAAAGAGAAGGATCTCTGATTCCACAAGGCATTTAAGATGTTTAAATTATGTTTTTTTGTGAGAATATACAAAAGTAGACTTGAAAACCAAGCTATAGACTGAGAAGTTCAGGTTGAGAATTTAAGAAGAGACCCCAGATGCACACAAGTTTGAAGGGATGGTTCTTATTCTTCCAATAGGTTGCTTGTAAGTATGGGTTGTAGTTACGTAAAAAACTGCAAAGAAATCTTTATACACCCTCTACCTTCAGAGAGAAAGGCTGCCAATGTCATAAATACACTTTCTTATTTAATTATTTAATTTAAATTGTTGCCTATTTCAGACCAGGTTTGAATGCTTCTGATCTAAATCTAATCACTGGAAATTCTCCCATCTTGGCTGCTATGTGCTCACTCCCAGGCTTCTATTAAAAGAGCTCACAGCTCAGTTTCTGTATCATTTGTTAATATAAACTTACTGCGTTGCTACTGGTACTTTTCTATGAAGGTTACTCTATGTTATTTATTAGTTAATTAAGTAACAGACAAAGTTCCATTTCCTGCAGATCCAAATTATCCTCTAATCTCAGCTCCATGTTTTCTGGCTTCTAGACACACAATACTGTAAAATAAAAGCAAACAGCAATATAGGACAGTTTACCATCGCCATCTAGTTTTACAATAATTCTTTTGCTGTTGGCTTCTGCAAAGCTGTGGACTAAACCCAAACCACTAAATAGACCAATAACATATATTTCACTTGTAATGTGTCCTCTTATTTTAATGCTGCAGTTTCCTGGTGTTTTATACAAAATTATGTTGATTTGCCTTCAGTAATTTCCTCCTCCATTACCTCTGTATAGATGGAGGGAATACAGAAGAAAATAATTAGAATGAAATTTATATTCCTAAATTGATCTTAACCTTGGAAGAATGAAAGAGTAAAAAATGAGTTTTTATGTAGCATTTGGTTTACATTACTGCAATACAGTGAAAAATGTTCACAGTAAAATAACCATTATCTGAGGAGATATGGATGGAAATACAAATGAATATTTTTGAAAGAGAAGAAAACAAAGGAGTAGTCATGGATTTGGATGAGTCTGTTTAAGCTGAAGAGTGAATTGGAGAATATGCCATGGAGAACAAGTTTGCACTGGAAAGACAATGGATGTGATGATCTAATAAGTCTCACACATCTGAACTGTATGATTTCACCCCCAACAGAACCTTGTTCTCTTTGTACTCGCTGTTCCACAGAGCAGTAATTACTGCTAACAATGTGTCTGCTTGCTGGGCCTTTCAATGTGCCAATCATGGTGCAAATTTATTCAGCATTTTAAATATGCTGAGCACTTCCACAGATGGGCTTGTGAAAACAGCAAATTTAGATGTTCTTCAAATGCTCAAAATTAGAACTCACCAGGGAAACACAGGCAGGCCCCTCCTATTCTGCACCAGAGGTAAGTGGGAAATACTCTGAGAACACCTGAGCAGATGAGCTGCAGCTTTCAGCAAGAGGCTCTTCATGAGTCATGGGGTTTTCCCGCTGGAGAAGGGGGTCCCTCAAAAAGGGTGTCCCTCAAAA